ATTACATGAACAACTTTGTCTTCCCTGCTCACGCTAAGCAGTTTGGCGTCAAGCTGCAGGCTTCTGGGTGGGACCTCCCATTGTTCTCGAAATCTCGACCAGGTGAGGAAACCTCCTGCACGAAGACAACTGGTTTCAGCGGCACAAATGATAACAAGATGATGCTCCCACTGAACATCAAGCAAGACGACCTACCCAGCTTACGTCAAACCAATGCAGAAGTGCTCACTTACGTTCTACAGAGCCGGAACCGGCAGTACAAGCTTGCAGCTGAGCAGGGAAAGCGCCTGACAGAGGAAGAGCTACTGCGAAGGATCGCGGGATTGGAGATAAGAATTCTAATCGACGCCGGTGCCTACATCCTCGAGATGGACAATCGGACCCTCGTTAGGGCATGGCTAGATATAGACACACAAGCCAAGGGGGCTGTCTATTTTGGTGCTGACAACAGAGCCTGGGTTCAGTATCGAGGAGGGAAGGAGGTGGTGCCGCTGCTTGCCACCCCTTTTGCCGAGAAACTTGACGAATGCCTCGTGTATATTGATGAAGCACACACCCGTGGAATAGACTTGAAGCTGCCCCAGAAAGCCCGCGGAGCATTAACACTAGCTCTCGGCCAGACGAAAGACCACACGATGCAAGGTAAGCTGACTGCCAACCATCGCCCTGATTGAAAGGCGTACCTAACAGACCCAGCTGCGATGAGGCTACGACAACTGGGAACCACTCAGTCTATCATTTTCTTTGCCCCCCCCGAGGTCCACCAGAGCATATTGGACGTGTGTAGGAAAATATGTGGAGAGGTACTTGACTCTTCCCGTATTGAGTCCTCTCACATCGTGTGCTGGCTTCTGGAACAGACCTGCCGTGCGAATGAGCACTTGCGGAATCTGTATCTTGCACAAGGAACGGATTTCTGCCGCCGGACGGATGCGCAATGGAAATACGTGAAGTTCCTTACAAAAAATCGCCACCGAGAAGCCTATCTCAGAGTTATTCAGCACCCAGAGCGCCAGACTCTTGAGCAGCTGTATGGAGTAGTGCCAGACACCCAGCCGAGTTCCGTCGCTGACACCCCGTCCGCAGAACTGAAGTGTTTCATGGAGGAGCTCAGTGAGCAGAGACGAGCAGCAAAGAACAAGGGAGATCGTGTTCATAGCTCTGTGCTAGAAGAAGTAGAGCAGGAGCGAGAAGTCGAATTCCAAGTCGAGCAGGTACGCCAAGTGCAAAAGCCGGCGCACTACAAGGCTGTCGCATTTCCGGGTCTGCATGCAGCTATCTCTCACTTTGCTAAAACTGGCGAGCTCGCTGGTGGGCACGGATACGAACATGTCTTTGACGCTCTGGCGCGGACGAGCATCGGTCAAAAGTATAATGTTCGCCGCACGACATCGCAGCTGTACGTCTCGCCTGAGTTCATGCGCACTATTGAGCTTGGAAAGCGTATCCCAAATGACAACTTCCTCGTAAGTTATAGCCCATCAACATTCCTTGTCCCTGGTTGTGCTAATGTCTTCTACAGCGCCCTGTTGAATGGATCCTGTGGAGCCCTTCGAATGGGACGGCCCTCATAGTTATCTCCGAAGAAGCTGAACTTTTGATTCCCATGATCCGTGTAGCAAGAAAACCAAAGGTACACCTAATTACGTATGCTGCCCCTGTCACAAAAAACATGTTGCACTTCAACGAGCTTTCATACTATGTCCTCCCTCGCCTGCCCGATGGCTACACGGCACCCGACTGGCTCTCCATCGAACTTGGAATTTTCGCTGGCCGGCTATACATTAACTTCACTGAGTGTGCTCCTCTGACAAATTATTTGCAGCTTGCAGACAATACCGGTACAGACTCCCCGCAGGGTCGCACCGAGCACGTCGGCATCTCTACCAAGAATCCTGTCGACTTCCTACTGGAGTGGCTTACGGTCTGCCGCAAGGGGCAAGACATCATGCACACGCCAATGGGTTATATCTGCCAGGGACGGCCCTTGCACGAAAGCCATCCTTTCTTTGCAGCGCGAGGTATAGGTGCTAGAGACGTTGGAGGGCCTTCCGGAGGTGGAACTAGTGGCGATGTAGACGAAGCTGAAGTCCAACATCCGGACCTGGAAGACGAGGGCGACTCAATGGGTACTCTATAACGGATCTCCTCATATGAGTTCCTCCATTCTTTACTTTGCCACTTTTTCTATATGTCTTTTTCATCGAAGATCGGTCATGGATGCGTTCGCCGAGGCTTGGGTTGTTTCGGGAAGTTTCACAAAATGACTCATCTTGAATTGTTTTCCTGCGATGAGCGCCTGGTACTGACAGTTTGTAATTCGTATAAACCCAATTATATTTGGAAATTTATTCCCTTGCGCCTCTTATCGCAAGGCTTCTTCAGGGAGACAGTTGGCACTGCACCAATGACTTGAATGCCCCGAGCAGAGGTAGCGAGGCTTTCATTTCTCACTCTCCTGCGATTGCCGAAACATTGCGAGCGTTCACATTTTGTTTTATTTTTATGTGTGAATGGACGTTGTTGATACGTTGACAGGCTTCCTCGCGGAGTGATCATGTATTCTGGCTTCCCATGCTACCCGTGCACGTCTCCCTTACAGACCCTTTCGGTGGGAAGATCTTGCCATTTGTCACTAAGAACGCTTGAGGGGCAAGTCGATTGTATGTCGGAAGCTCTTTGCGATACTGTAGCGTGCTGAGATTTAAAGGCAGGAGTTGAGAGTTGGTACGGTGCTTTAGCTATTCGAAATGTGAAGCAAATGATTACATGGGCAATTTTGTTTTAAGTTAAAAAATTTGTTGTCTCGGATGTTTCAGAATTACCCAGACATTATAGTTACAAGAGATGATGGCAATCCGAAGCGGTGTATCGAGGTATGTTGTATAACTTCAGCTCTACACTATCGTCCAATGACCCAGCGACACACAATCTCCCGGTCGTATCTTCTGAATACAATACTTTCATACCACTTGTACACTCTCCGAGAAAGTGTTTCATTCCCCATCTCACCGGTCAATATGCATCCAACGAACAGTATTATCGAAGGGTACGTCTCATCACCGGTTGATATCGCATCAGTCCACTACGAGGCTCACCTTGAAATGGGAATATAATCCCAAAGATGCTTGATACTGGATTGAAGTATAATGATCTTTCCTAGGATGACTATGTGTCAATCAACTCGTGCTTTACCCATGATTCAGCCAACATATATATTTGAAAATGAATACATTGCAATTAATAATAAACATCAGAAGAAGGTGGTATTCCTGTGAGACCCTAGGCATATCCTTTCGACCGTAAATACGCCGTCCCCAAAATCCGCCCATTTTCCAGCATATCAAACTTCTTAACTCACCAAAACAGAATAGATCACACAAGTTACTTTCCAAACAGAGCGCTTCAACAGCATTTTGATGCAAGAATTGAAACCCGAAGAACAGCGGAAGTTGATGCCCCCCAAATTCGCCACCACCTTGATGAGCTACGCAAACTTCATTCCGACAAGCTAGGTGGACCCTCTACTAAGGGCTTTTATTCCTTTGCAGTCCTGTTTCGACAAACTTGTCTTCGCAAACAATTCTGTAAGGTACTAAATGATTTCTCCTGGAGCATTACACTCAACCCGTCAGATCTAACGATTTCACTCAAAATCTCCAGCGGCACCTCCTCAACTTTTTCGATTCTTACATACGATAGTACACGTAAGATTGTTTGTCCTTCGAATGTTCCACATAGTTTTAATTGTATACCACCCTTCTGGAGTTTTCTTGTAGGATATATAGGAAGGTACTGATTCTGGTCGGAAGTTGGAGGTAAAGTTGATGTGACCTGATCAAATTAGAACATTTCCAGCGTATGAGCAGAAAGATACGAACTGTAACAATCCTGACCCATCCAGGAGGTCTTTCTAATGCTTTTCCTAGAACAACCACCATATGAGACCGGTATTGCGATGATAAGTGCACCTGCTGAGCAACTTCGCTACTCCATTCTGAGTTGTCTTTGAAGTCGAAGACTTTGCCCCTCGCTGCATTCTTGTCCCTCATAGTGTATATTGTGCTAGGCTTTTGGATGTATTATAGAAAGTACAGAGTAGAGCACGGCAATTAATGGAAGCCCAATCTACCTCAAGGTTAGGCAATGGCCCTGGAGAGGTGTGGCAGAAGTTTGGTTGAGGTTGACGATAGGCAAATGGTTTATTTAATCAGCTGGCCTTTATCGCAACCTTTCAAAAAATCTGCATGCACCTCGACCCCGCACTTCAACAACAAAGATCGAGAAGATGTATTCCTGGAATATAAATCAGCATATCCTATCTCTTATTCCGCTTCACCTTCACACAGACTTGATAGCAGTCCACATCCACTAAGAGGTAACTATTTTAAGGTTCATTATCAGACATACCCTCGCAACCTAACGTCTGTCCATGCGTAACGAGAAACCACGCGTGCCGAGAATTCTTTTGGGTACTTCACCTTTAAACTTGAAAAACTTTGAATACGTATAGGCGACTCCTTTATTTTTTGTACTAGCTATGTTCTATAGTCAATCTGGAACACAACCTCTACCGAAATGGGGTTGTGCGTGGGCCAGATTACAAACACCTGTGACGCCAGTAACAGCAGATGTGCTTATGTCGCTGCATAACATGATCAAACAGGATACCAGTAAACTTACCGAGACAATTGCTGCCGCCGACGTTGTAATTCGGCTCGACTCGGTTGGCTGTTCGTCTTAAATAAAGTCTCAATTGGCCAGTGTCAACCTGAGTTCTTGGCGTAAATCTTCGTCGTGCAATCTCCAGCACCTACAAATTTTCCTTCACCTGTTATCCGTACGCCCTTGGCGCGGCTGTTTGCCTAGCCGCGCTATAAATACTCCCACGAAAATCTCTCGCTGTGAACTAAAATCTTATCTCAATACCCCCTTCGCTCAAACCACTATTTCGAGAACTACACGCCATTCCCGATATCCATCAGCCTATGCTCGGTTGGTTATTCTATTACAGGACCATCCCATACAAACTTAATACAAACAAATTCTTTCCGAGCACTTTGCAACTGAATTGTAAGCTTGTTTGAGCCTCGCGGGCAATCCAATGTTAGTTCTGTCGTCGTCGGAATATCTTTGACATCGATAACGTGAACTTCCTTATTCCTAGCCGAGTCCTCTCTTACAGGCTCGATAGATAGATGGCCGGAAGTCACTCTAGCAAAATCCAAGGTAAGAGATAACTCGTTCAGTTGTAAGTGAAGTAATGGCGTCGTCAACACGATGAATTGACTATATGGAAGCTCGCTATATCCGATATCTATTAAAGAGATATTCTCCCAACTTGGCGTGTTCCCCGCATAGTCTGTCAGTTCGATCGTTCTTGAAGCTATTGTATCTAAATCGCTTCTAGCAGCAGCACATGACTGAAACGGTGTCCTTGGTGGAGTAAGAGGCAAGTTGGTGCTGTTTGATAATCCAGGCTGGGCAAAAGGCTGGCTCGGGCGAAGTGTAGACGTTGAAGCCAAAGGGTTGAGTGTCATCTTGCTAGAAACAGCAGACGACGACGGCCAATGACCACGTGGCAGTAAGATGCTCTCGTTTGGATGGTAGCATATACTCTTCTTGGATTTCGAGACTATTCGGATTTTGTTCTCCAGCACTGCCTGCAACTGGGTTGCCAAGGATCCAAGCTCTCCACGTCGTTGCGTAGGGACATTCAACCAATCTGGCAAGATCCATTTCATGTAAAGCCTGCCATGTGTTCGGGGCACGCTGAAACCACCATGGATCTGGAAGAACAGGTTACACAGATAGCAAGCACTCTTGCTCGAGCAGATAATTCTGGGTCGAGGTCGGTCTGGGTCAAGCTCGTAAAAGAAGAGAAGTTGTATTTCAGCGTGAACCTTGTAAAGTGGTTCTAGGACAGAGGCAGGAATAGCGACTTGGAAGGGTTCTACATGAATCTTTTGGAACATCTGGCACGCCTTGTCCCTCGCGGCGCAGACAAGCTCTAATACCGCGGAGTAATACCGACCAAGCTTGCCCACCGCTTCTGGCAGGTATTTTTTTAAGCTTGGATCGCCTGTGAATGTGTAAATAACTTCGCTCAGATCGATTTCCTCGGTGAGTTTGTGGGCTGTATATACTATATTTTGAACGACCTCTTGCACCTGGATATCACCGGCTGATAGGTGCGGTATGCTTTCAAGCCTGGTGAATAAACTTTGTAGCGCCTCCGCCCTTCCTCTTGCACCCTCCAGTTGACTTCCTGTGAATTTTGCCGTGACTGATATGGACTTATCATTAAGAATTTGGCTTAGCTGACTAGTAAGAGCTGGCCTTCCTGCAGTCTTCCGGGTAGTTCTGGCATGTCGTGACCGTAATCTTGATAGAATTCTTGGGAGATCTAAGACCACTACATGTTGGAAAACGGCTTCTTTGGCTTGAGCTCTGGAAATTTCTATAGAGGTCATTTTAGTTTCAGCCCGCATAGAGCACTTACTAACCTCGCCGTGCTGCTTGCTCTAAAGACCGGGCAAGTCTTTTAAACCCGCTTGTAACCTCCGAGAGATCTCCGGTATTCGACGCAATCCGAATCGTAATTTCCTTTCCGTTAGATGCTTCTTCTATGCAGACAGCCATCACTTTAAGACTGTCATCCCGAATTGCAGACAGAAATGCTAGGTTACTAGTGATCTCATTCTCGCGCGAAATGCTTAATTGATGGGTCGAGCCGCTCGAAACGAGAATGTGCTCTCTTGGCTGCTCAGGGACCGGGTTTAGCCTTCCAAGGTGGCTGATACTTCCCCGCAATTGCTGCCAGGTTGTTGCACCTCCCCACATCGTCAGGCGTTGTCTACAAGAACTCAGTTCAGGATGAATAATAGATGGAAGATTTATAGAAGGGTTGTGTGAACTCATATTACTTTCCCGAATAATTATTCGAGGCTTTCAGTGGCGTTGCCTTGATTCGATCAGCTATACAATGTGTGGGAGTACAAGTCGAGATACCCCTCACCCTACATCACCCCACAATGGGCCACAGCTGTTAATCTGCCTTGGCGTTGTTTCAAGCAGCTCTCTTTATCAAAAGGAAGAGGTGTTGTTTTCTGTTAGACATCACCTTGCTAGATTGCCCTTTCTCCTCACCAATAAGAGTAGTACTTCTTATAATACGACCGTAGCCAACCGGTCTGAACGACAGATGATCCGATTGCCTCGCTTTTGAGCCGCCACTTCCATCTCAAGCCCTTCGCCTCCTATGGGAAAGCAAGCTTTACCGGCAAGCCATGCATCATTTTACGAATTGGTCTATTGAAGTTGCACGGCAGCACAGAAGAAATGCCACTCGTATCTGGCTTGCAGTAGTCGCAGGGATATCCCCTTTCCAAAGAGCCCCAAAGAAATGATAAAGGTTTAGCAGAGAATACTTTTACCGCCAATTTTAATCTCATCTGAGCCCCTCCAGCATACTGGCTTACTTACTTCCCTTACGCGAATCCTCATCATAGATAGCTATGGCTGAACCTGCAATGAATTTGGCAAGCCCAGTACAGCTCGACATTATTGATGGGTTACGCGGGCTTGGGATATCAAACTTTGTTGCCCTACCCCAGGTAAGAGATACGTCTAGTCTAGGAGTCCTTGCTGAGGCCTAGAATCAACAGCTTGCCGTGGTAGGAGACCAGTCGAGGTATGGGTGCTCTAAATCCAACTCGTCAATGCTGACCCTTGTAGTGGCAAGAGTTCCGTTCTTGAAAGCTTCTCTGGGCTCCCATTCCCACGAGACAGTGGGTTGTGTACTAGATTCGCAACCCAGATTATCTTCCGGCGTGGTCCTACGAGTAATATCAAAGTCTCCATTATCCCTGGGCCCGATCGAAGTCTCCAAAAAGCGCATAAACTCCACGGCTATGTGAAGGACAGCCTGACAACTTTGACAAGTCATGAGTTTCTTGACATCCTTAAGGAGGTTCGTTATCCGCTGTAACACTACGAACTACTCTTGGCTAATATCCGCCGCCGCAGGTCTGTCAACTGATGGAAATCCCGAGTCCGGGCCAACCCCTCGAAACGAGCCACTCTACCTTTAGCGATGATCTCCTCAGTATAGAGCTCTGTGGTCCAGACAAACAAAATCTCAGTATTATTGATATCCCAGGCATCTTCAGAACGCCAACGGAGGGTGTGACAACGGTACAAGACATGGCTTTAGTGAGACGGATTATGAACCGCCACATCAAGGACGAGCGGACCATTATCCTTGCCGTTATCCCTAGTAATATGGACATTGCTACTCAAGAGATTTTGTCCATAGCTAAAGAATTGGACCCAAACGGCCTGCGGACGCTCGGAGTCCTCACAAAGCCTGACTTAATTGACAAGGGCGGGGAGGAAAATGTGATGAGCCTCGTGGAGGGAAAACGGAACCAGCTCCGTCTTGGATATTGTATTGTCCGAAACAGAGGCCAGAGTGAGCTCTCAAACGATGCTACGACGCGCCACAGGAAGGAGAAGCATTTCTTCTCGACGGAGCCCTGGTCTAGATTAGACCCTGATCGGGTCGGTACGCCCGCGCTCCAGAGACGTCTGCAGGAGCTGCTCGTTAGTATCACACGCCGAGAGTTCCCAAAGGTCCAAGCCCAGATTATACAACAGCTATCGAGCTGTCGCAAGCGCCTAGATGGCCTTGGGGCTGATCGAGAATCGACAGATCAGCAGCGTCGCTTCTTGCTCGAATTGTCGCAGAAGTTCCAGGACGTGACAAATTGCGCTTTAGATGCGTACTATTCACGCCACGCGGTATTCGCAAGCGTTCCTGGGCTCAGGCTTGCCACATTAGCTGTCGAACGCATGGAGCGCTACGCGAAAGATATCAAAACATTTGGGCATACAATAAGCTTTGATTCGGAAGAGGAAGGAGTGCCACCCACCGCATATCCCGCGGTCCCTAGTACGCCACCTTCAGATGGATCAGAAGTAGACGCTGACAATCCTGATTCTGAGTACCCAGAACTCGCGGGCTTGATCTGACGAATGAGGTAGCCCCAATGCCAAATGACTGTAGCACCAGCATCATAGAGTGGATAGGAGAAGAGTACAGGAGGGCTAGAGGCTTCGGTCTTGCGACAATCGGACCTTCGATCTTACCTACAATATGGCAGGAACAATCAAAGAACTGGGAAGCTCTGACCTTAAATTATATCGCCGATATCGTGTTCTTCGTGCACGACTTCATATTCAAAGCCCTTGCTCATGTCTGCCCCGACGAAGGGATCCGTTCAAGCTTGAGGTTGGTACTACAAGAGAAACTTCTTGACCGGTATCGAGTTGCCATAGATCACGTTAGGTTTATCATACGAGTGGAACGATTCGGCACGCCGCTGACAACCAACCACTACTTCAATGAAAATTTGCAAAAGCACAAAACAAGCCGTCTGGAAAAACTACTCGAAAAGCACGCAGAGATAAGCCATAGCTCTAATGGTTGGGCGCAACCCGGGAAGGTCGTGAGACTGGGGCAGATTTCGAAAACGATGACGATGGATAACACTGAACACACTATCCAAGACATTCACGATATCTTGGACTCATACTATAAAGTTGCAAGGAAGCGCTTTGTTGACACTGTGTGTATGCAAGGGAGCGATTTCCATCTATTAACTGGAGTGGATTTTCCATTGCGAATCTTCGGGACTGCCTTCGTAAGCGAGTTATCTGTAGCTCAGTTAGATATCATTGCTGGGGAAGACATTTCAGTGAAGCAGCTTTGAAAGAACTTGAAGAACGAGATCACAGCTCTTGAAAAGGGGGCAAAGTTGCTTCGAGCGTAAATATGTGTTGATTGGGATATGGTGATGGGACTTTGCCTGGGTTCCTGGTCTTACTTCTCCGGCAAGTATTCGACCAGCGGTGGAACACATTGATCAGAACTATGATTGGGGCAAGTGGTCGATGGATCTTGGCTCCTCTCCTTGAAGTCTCCTTTAAAACTGGGTTTAAAATATCGTGATTGCTTGCAAAGAAGTGCCTTCGAGAGTATATAATCCTTAGATCCAATGCTAATCGTGACCCGAGGGCCAGAATAGAGTAAGAGGAGGCTAAAGGAGGATTGCTATATGCAGGTTTTGCTGTTCAATTTCAAAAGTTTCGTTTTCGCTGAGTCAAAATCTGGGCGGAAGTAATCACATGATACATTACATTAGTCAGCTAGCACTTTGGCGCACAACGGCTATCTGTTTTTTTCTCGTTCATTTGTCCATCCTCTCTAAAATATTGTCACGTTGTGTATCACCTTGCTTATTTCGCGTCGCAGCACGCAGAGTGTCTATTACAAATCGATTAATCACCAAACGAATATGCGTACAGTACCTAATATACTGCTTAAACACTGGCACAGAATCTTGGGTTTATCGCGGCAATCACCACCGTCCTGGTATCGAGACCGACTTCGGGAGGAACTATGGGAGCGCCGGACTGCAAATACACCATGGCAGAAGCTTAGCGAGGCATCGGACGTTTTCTTTTCCCTTAGTCGAGCTCAGCACGATGGTTTTCCAGTCCGGATGTTACCCCCATTTATTGCTTCTCGCCATGTACTGGTGTACGTGTACATGCTAGCAAAGTACACTTCACGTTGGAAATTCTACCGAACGGCCGCTATGCTCTGCAACGCTCCCAATTACGACCTGGTCCGTGAGGTAGTCAATCCCAGCAAAGATCACAAGCTTAAGGAAGTCGCTTCCCGTTACCAGATCAATCCAGTGGAATTTGGGCGGGTTGCTCGTCAACTGAGACGAGTATGGCCTCTTCTCCCATAATGAAATATTTCTAGTGAGAAAGGAAAACTGCAGAGCCACCAACTTGGTGGACCTGCCTAAGACTAGGTTACCTTATCACGCTTGAGCTATTTTTGATCCTGAAGCATTCGGTAATGAACATACTCTCATTTCAATATTTCACACGCCTCGTCCTCATCTTTACACTCGCCCATCCAGCCAATCCAAAACCCTTCCTTCCTTAATCCTGTACTGCAGCTAATACATAGAGCTAGGGCAGATGCGTCGTGTTGAACAGACGGTTGCCAGTGTCAGTGGCGCCTCTACCAGTGAACTTGTTCTCGGAGAGACGAAGAGCAATAACACTAAGCCCTACCTGACCGAGTGCCTGGGTGAGACTGCCCCCGGAAACCGACTGAGCCTGGATGATGCCGGCAACTACTACGATGCGAATAGTGGCATGTAGATTGCGGACGTGCTGCACGAATTGTATTACCGTCTTGCCGCTGTTCACAACCGAATCCACCAGTACTACGTTGCACTGTCCCTGTAGGTGATGGAGCATAATGTCGTCGGGATGGTTGGCATGGATGAATACAGCGAGTGGAAAAGCATCGCTGACGCCAAGGGCCATAGGTTCTCCGCCACGCATCAGTGCTACGATCAATGTCTGCTGCTCATTGCAAAGGCGATAGCCGCTTGTCTGATTGCCTTGGACGTGGGGAATCGGGTATTCTTCAATGTCGACCACGTTGGCTAAGAATTCGGTCGCTAAATACCATCCTGCACGGCGATGGGCTTCCCTTAGCTGCGGGCCAGCATTTGTTGCATCGCGCATTGGCGTCATGAGCAACTTGGCGGCATTCCTGTGTGTTGCATGGAGGACTTGAATGTCAGCATCTTGACGGCGGCAATGGAGGATCGAGTTAAAAAACTCGCCCGACGTGAGCTGAATTAGGGGAAGCATCTTGGTGTCCAACCGTGGCGACGTACAACTAGGTAACACAACCTGACATGCTCGAAGACCGCCATCATGGATAAGATTAAACAAGTCCAAGTCCATGGTCTTGCTTCTAGTCTGCTCCTGGCCAACGACAACGATAGCTTGATCTGCCTTGCTTAACATTTCCAAGTCCAGCGGACTGTCTCCGAACGCCCAGACATATATCTGGTTGGCATTTTGCAAACGACCGACCAAGGCGGCTTTTACTGCAGCTGTGACGACAAAGCCGTCGGTAATACGGCCCCCACCAATAACTTTCACTTCCTTCGAGAGACCTTCTCTCTCTAACACCTTCTCCCAGACACGACGCAGCCCGCAGGTAACAACTACCGCGCCAACGTGTTCCTGCCCTGCCACCCGCTGCAAAAGGGACACAAACTCGGGATACATCGTTACAGAGGCCGCCACATCTTGGCAGAGAGAATCGAACTTTTCATCGTCGACCGTCTCTTCATATAACAATACGGCCTGGCGAAAGGCAGTGTACGTGTATAGTAATGGACTGCTGAATAGCGTCTTCAGCGGATCAGTATCATCCTTTGACAAGCTGCGAACTCTCTGCCAAAATAACGTCCCAGTATCCTGCGGAGCTAATGTCCTGTCGGCATCCATGACCAGCATAGTCTTCAGCCGGCCCTCACCAGCGGCAATAATCTCTTTAAGCCTGCCTTCGGCCTGGCACAGGTTGTATTTCTCAGTGTGATGCCGAAAATCGTGTAGCAAGGTCAAAACTTTATTCAGCATCGTCGGATGTGGAGATACAAGCGAGAACAAAATCTTATGTTTGCGGCAGAGATGGCGCAGCTGAGTCTTTTCGGCCTGCTGCCACTTGCACAAATGGGTGATGGATGTGGAGGGACGAACTCTTTCTGTGTCATGTAAAAGACGTTGCACGACGACCTCAGGGAGAACATCCAAGTAGAGAATATGTGTGAAGGTGTCAAGGTCATTTTGAGTATACACTGGCCGTCCAGCTTCTTCTTCCTCGGACCAGAACATGAAATGTCCGGCGACAACTGCAACTCGACCGCTCTCTCCGCACTCTTTTCTGATCGTGTCGATAGCAAGCTTGCGCCATTTCTCCTTCTCCAGTTCTCCTAGCTTCTGGAACCCGTTAAGATCGCCAGGAACTAGAGTGGCAATTACCTTGGAGCCTTCGTAGAACGCAAAATGCTCTGTTCCGAGTTCCTCCTTTAGCTGGTCCAGCAGAAATGTTTTACCAGAGCCGGGAACTCCGTATAGGCCGACAACTACTGGCTTATTGTCGTTGGGAGCAGATCGATAGTCTGTTGATTGTTTCGGCTGTGGATTTATTATTGGCTTCGACATACTGCTTGATGCGTATTGGTATTTTGGAGAGGAATTTCCTAGGTTTTTAAGAATGGTGAATATGTGAGTACTGGCACTTAATTTAACGTTTAATAAGTAGAATAGAACATTTTATCACATGGAAATTTTGTCAGATGGAATGTCAGTGTGACTAAGAGTTGTGGCAATTGGTTGTATTGACGAATTTGTGGGCACAGGTGCAAGCTCCACTATCTTGCTGCTATCAATCGACTGGTCCACCGAACAGACGTTAGGAAATTGGACCCTAGCAGCTTCTTCTCTTGTACTCCCACATACACGCATCCTCGTAAACATGAGGCTGTTGATAGGGCAGGGTTGTGTATTAACGGAAGGCTGCCATAGCCTTCCTTAGCCGAATGAGCAGCCCCAGCCTAAAGCCAAAATCAAGACAATAGATTACTTATTTTACGACAACAATTTTTTGAGTACGCAAACTCGTGGCTAGCCGAGAGAACACTTTTCTGTACTATTGTAATAGAATATGTATCAATCTTTTTCGTAGATAAGTGGAATTGGCTGTTACATGTTGGCTTATTCTTGACAAGCATTGGGGGAAGCGCGACGCAGAGGCGGCATCGTGAGGCCACCTCAGTGGAGATCGTCAAAAGCCGAGATGATCCCAAACAAACGAGACAATCTCATGGGCAAAGACTGCTTAATTCGCGCACACTCTATGTAGCTTTGGTTCCTGACTAACTCGGAAGGTGCCACGGAGCAAATTGTGCGCCAGTCCAACTCCTGATTTTTGACAATATAAGTAGATTTATGACAGATTCAAGCCACTCTTTAAACGAAGTTTAGATATGATTCAGATTCATCCAAAGTTAAGGGCAAATCTTCTAATTCCATATCCAATGATACAAACAAGGCTCGCAGTTGGCCTCACTGTATTAATGACCAGCTTTCTTGACCATATATAGGACAGGCCTGCAGCACCGATGGGCCTGAAGTAGACTCCCTTGTCATGGCTCGCCCATGAAGATGAAGGTGGAACATATGAATGAACTGGTGCATCGGTTGAATATCTCCGCAGGATTAGCTCCAATAGAGTCTCCATACGGTCTTTCCCAGTTGCGAGAGGGGCCAGATATCCACAACAAGTAAACGAGCAGATTATATTGCCATATTTCGGCGAAGTAATTATCGTTAGTTCTCTTATGATAGAGAGATGTCAAGCCTGAAATGGTAACGAGCTTGTCATTCGCTTTAGTCAAAGCACACCGGCTGTAGCTTTCGATTATATTCGCCCATTCCTTGAAGACAATCCCACTCGCGAGAATGTCGTTCTCATTTTGGTCTGACTGCCGTATGGATGGTACGCGGATAGTTGGTGCTAGCCTGGGATATGGAAACTTATTCCGAAAGATTTCGTTCTGGAGGATGGCATCGCATTCCCATAAGAGCTGTGGAGTGGCAAAGTGGATTGTTCTGGGCGCACGAATTCGTTCTTGAAAGCACCATCCGCGTAATTGAAGCACAGAGGCCTTAAATTCTCTATCCCATGAGTCTCTTTCTAGTATGGCAAAAGTCCCAATGACAGGGACGTTGCCTTGAGTCGTGTTGCATTCAGCAATCCCTGGTAGGATGTCCTCTAGGCTTCTCTCTTTGAAAAGGCTATTGTTAGGATCTACTGAAGCTGCAGCAGCAATTGTGCAATAGGAGTTGGCGTAGACATTTGTCATTCTCGCACTTTCATATGACCAATCTTCCGGCGAACTCCTAGGTAGACAGCAACTTCCATTGCATCCTGGAAGAGTTGAGGGAGGGCAAAGATTTTCTGGCCTCTTCAAAAAATGGGGTTCTGTCGACGTTAAAGAACGTATGAATGGTACATTTAGTGACCTGTAACTCAAGGCGACGAATTTGACACGTTTTGTACGTGCTTCCTTAGCAGTATGACAGAGTCGCCACTCTGTTGTTCCAATTTCAATCAGATGTGTTGGAATGTCGTCATTATTCTTCATTCTGCAGGCGTCATGATTTTTCTCGCAGTCCCGAGTACCATTCTTTGATCAATTGTAAGCTTCTCAACGAAGACGTGCTCGATCCATGGGTCAAAAAGAAGCTTCCCGAAAATGTTTGATCTATGATATATTAGACTCAGAAGATCAATTGAAAATGAGCAAACGATATTCATTTCCACACACCAGAACGAAATGATGTTATCAGCTGGTTGTCTACAGCAGTAATTTCCAAGCGCTGGGTTGGAACCAAGTGGTAGAAGGTACTCCATGATTTGCAGGGAGTCCATTTTGTTCATAGTATCTCCAAGGCTAAAAATTCGGTGGGTTCAGTAACCGTATCGTATGTATTCTGAACAAAACGATAGCGCATGAAGTCCACGTCGTTCCAAGTATTGTCTTCTTGGTTCTCCCACTTGAGTCGGTAAGGCTCAGGGATCTTTGCCCAATTTTGGGAATAAATGAAGCACTTTGGTAATGCAGCAGCTCGAAAGTGAGTGGGAGACGTTTGATGTAGTCTGTATCTAGCGTTTTTCAAATAATCTCGCTGAAGATATCCCTTTATACTGCGTAGCAGAGACACGTTTTCAGTTTGCCTTCCTGTTTGCTAGTCTTAGTAGAATAGAAGTATAATTGCTATTATGTGGCATCTGATACGTCCAAATTCTTCACCAAACATTGAGTGGATGTTTGGACATCAGCCGTTTCCCAGTCAATCACTGAATATTCACCCCAAATGAAAGAACCCGCTCTCGACAGATGACAGAACCTCCACCAACACGTCTTCCTTCGGGTGTGTCAAAACACTACAAGCATGGGTTCTCCCTCCGAAAGTTGAGCCGCTTAAGCTCTACCGGCCAAAGTACTTCAGTCCCATCACGCGATGCATCCAGCTCGAGGCTCTCATCTAGCTCACCGTGAACGTATGTCGTCATAACCAAGTACGGACCCCAAGAAATTATTAAGCTGTTGTTGACGGAGATCTGGCTCCAGCTCTTTAGATTGTCCTTTAGCTCGTATAAGGCGCATATCGTAGGAGCGAAAAGATTGCTGACTAAACCACCCTTACAGAAGATCTCTTGTCGAAGGGAGGTGAGTAAAACAACTCGTTTACAAGTGATGTAGATAAGAACGACGTAGCTATTTGAAGTTTTTAGTAAAGAGGAGTGCTTTTCGTTGGGTCCAACGTCTTTTTGTTCGAGTCTGGTATTAATGCTGGCTTGCTTTGCGAACCTAGAATCCATTTAGCAAGATTAGTATTTAGACGGCTCGTGCTGGTAGACGGAGGAGACTTAGTTACTAATAGTTGACTTAAGCTTAGGGAGCGTCTTGAAGCGCGTTCTAAGCCATGAATTAGCATTCTGTATTAGGAGATATAATAACACGTATTGATTATACTCACAAGGTGATTTCTCTATAAAGAATTGTTATCGGAAGTCACTTTAGGAAAGCGCCCGTCCTACCTATAAACCTAAGGCTAAAGCCATTTCATCTATTTATAATGTTCTCGTTTACGATATTCTTGTATACTAATGCGATTATCCTTTGCCTTCACGATACCGGTCTGGAGGGCTCTTGTACGCTTGAACTTTTAGTAACGGCTAGTCGACCTGGTAGCTGCCCGTCCGCGCCAACGCAGCCCACCAAAAAATGTTTCAAAGGATGGTTTTCCTACTATTCTGAAGTGAGTCCAAAGTTGGTCGCTCATATTATAGATTATTGTTAGTAGAACTGTTAACCGAAACTTTCTCGTAAACAGGTTCCAAAAAAGCAATTAGTATAGTTGCTAGTGTTAAACAAGGCGTTTACTGTAACAGATCCGAATTGTATAATACATCTATTCCGCCTGTCGGCCAATTCTCCTGATGTACTTGTCTAGACTAATGACGTTCTTAGGCAATAGTAAGGCGAACCGAGCCGTGATAGGTTTCTAACCTCATTATAACAATACATTAACGTCGAAGCCGTCGAGATTCTAAAAAGCAAAAATCCTTAGGACGAATCGGATTAATATAAGGTACCGCGAAGACGCCTATTGCTCTAGATATCGGGATTATAAGGGGAGAGAGGAGCTATTCGAGTTCTCCACCTTCTCCTTCGGGAACTATTACCTAAGATCTTTTTAGATATACCTATATACAACACCCCCCTATATAACACGACTACGTGACTACCTAGCTAGCTACCTACCTCCCGTTATAAGATTCGTCTCCTAATTACCTTTAATTACTATAATATATCTTTAACTTTTATATCTATTACGAATTTCCTATCGCTATATCTATGCCGCTAGAGTAAGGTAGGTACTATTGTATACGTTCTATACCAGGTATACGCCGACTAATTCTATTTACAGAGCTATAATGTTATCGAAATAGACAGATTACGACGCGTTTTCTAATTCTTCTATTTAGTAATTCCTATATCTCACGTAACGATATCCTACACTAGATCGCGACCGTAGATAGAAGCGTAATACGACACGAAATTTTATATATTTCTTCCTATTTATATTTCCTAATCGTCTACGTCGACTAATAGCTCCTCGATCCCCGCTTCCAACTATACTAAACACTCCACTCCTCAATAGTCAATAATTCGATAATGTCGCAAACACGATTAAGCAAATAAGGCTGTCTACAACAACTTTCGTCAGTTGAAAACAACTTGTAAGTACAACAATAAGTCAGACGCTCTAAATCATTACGAGAATTAATACAAGAGATACTAACTTTCCAAAATTCCATTAAGTATATTTAGCACTTATTACAAAAGGCCTCTCCATACCAAGACGACCCAAATATCCATCCCCAAAATAGCCAACCTAAGAGCCCCCGAAGCTTAAAACAACATATCCACAACCCTAGGTCATGGCCAATTCCTAAACCCTAACCCCAGCCTCAAATCACGCATCGTCCCCGCCTACATAACCTACGAACGCATCATCCTGCTCAAAACCGTACGCCAACATCTCCATTTCAGTAACGAAGGTATTTTTATCGCAAATATCTTCGTTTCCATCATCTATACGGAGAGAGCGCACGCATTTCGTTGCACAGAAATCTAGTGGCTTCTTGGAAGCCGTACGGGCGTATATTGGTGGGGATACCCTGCGGGTTGCTGAGAGTGAGGGAAAGATAGGATTGTAGCAGAGGTGATTTGTTAATCAATATTTAAGAGGGGTGGATGAGATGAATAGTGTTTTGGTACATGAGGATGGGAGGGTTGAGGTTTTGCCGTGGGTTGTGGTGGGATATTTTAGAGATGGTGAGTTGGGTTGTTAGGGGGTGGGGAAATGGTCGGTGGTGTTTGTTTGAGAATGTTGGGAATGGATAGGAAGTTTTGGGAGCTGGTCATGGTTTGTTGGATGAAATCATCGCAGTCTTCTGGTATAGTATGCTTGTGGAGTTCCAAAGTAGGGCCACATACTGTTTCACCTCCACCTAACAAGTCCTCAAATCCCCTATCACCTCTCCTGCTCACCATCTCCACACTACTCATCCCCTATATGCCTCCGCCAAGCCGCCAAAAAATGCTCCCTCAACCCCATCACCTCAATCTCACTCCTCTCCCTATCAAATAGCCCCGCTCCCGTCGTAGTAACAAACAACGACGCACAAGTAACACTAGTCGCTATAAACACCGCCGAAGTAGCCGCCCCTCCCGCCCTAGCACTTATCAAAAACGTAAATAAACTCACGGCACCGATACCAGATTGCCATGCCGTAGCGGCCGATCCGCCTACAACGCCTAGAGATCTAAAGCCTACGAGGGGAAGAATCAAGGGGACGGCGAGGGCGCCGATGAGACATGCTACGCCGCCGAGGATTTGGGCTCCTAGGAGGAATTTTTTCTTGGTTACGTCTGGTTTGGCGCGGTCTTCGGTGACTGGGAGAGGGTTAGTTGGATATTTGAATGAGCTATAGCGTTAAGGAAATGGCTAAGGGGATTGGTTATACCTTTCTCCATCTCAAGTCTCGCCTTCACTAGATCCTCAGCGAATCTCGGACACCAGCACCCCAGAATCCTAACCGCTATAGGATAAGCCTAGATATTATCCGGGAAATCACCAGCTACGAAGCGTTTCTCGATAATAGAAGCACTCTCTAGACCTGTTTCTACATCGTGGAAAAATTGTTTGCCGGTGATGAGATGATACGTAAGACCTCCTAACGCAAAGAGTTCTTTACGCTCAATCTTCTCGAGGCGGGAGGGGAGACGATCCTCGATTTGTTTCGGGAGTCGGAATCGTGCTAGATACTCTCGGATAGGTAGATCTTGGGTGCGTAGCTCGATGATGTCGTAGGAGTCTATAGCGAGGTTTGTGATAGAACCATCGCCGTTAATGAGGATTTTCCAGTCACGGATGTCGTTTAGGTAGGTTTCGTTTTCTTTTCAGGATAGATCGGCTATCAGAGCAGTAACCCATTTCAGTCTCAAATCCTCTAGGCATTGACTTAGGTCTAGAGGTTAGTCGATGAAGTTGATAGTGGTTACTTGATTAGGATCTGGAATTTTGTCAGTGTAGATCGGGTGAAAGGTTGTGTGTTGTCGAATATAAAATCCTTGGTGTGGTCGTACCTCCAATTATCATCTGGCACAGTGCCTCATTACTCGCCATTCTGTACTTTCTAGTCATGATATCACACTTATCCCGCTGTGTGCGCTTGTGTTTTGAAACTTCTGGGTAGACCCGGTTGATATGGCTGCAAAACGGAGATGATGTGATCGTAGGCCAGTAGCAAGTTACGATACTGAGTAGTTCTGCCACGACAAGTTATTATACAAACAAGAACAGTGTTTTTCCGAGAGCAAAAAGGAAATTGAAGATGAGGCTGTGGAGCCGCTGCGGGGTCGAGAGGTTTACACAAGGCACTCGCTTCGGTGAGCTGTTGCGGGAATGAAGACCAACTATAAGAAACATGGTGTTGCACGGCATGAGGCGGCCAATTTGGTCGCCAGCACGACCGAAATAGCCAAGTTTGGTAGAATTAAGAATTATGTAAGGTTGGGCTTAAATTCATTTAGAATTCTTGTCATACTCGGTCAACATTATCTTCTAAGCGCTAAGCCATTAAACATGTCCCCACAGGTCGAGCATAGTTTGCTTAGCTTAATCATTTAGGCTATGAACTGCAATTGCGAGTGCCTATCCATGACACATGTTCGATGAGAGGCGAGAGCATCTGCATTTTAACACACCTTTATAAGCCTGGGCCGAATTGTGTAAAGCGTACGTATGACTGCAGGCTCAGTGCGCTGAATCGCATTGTTTGTCTCTTTTTCAATTCACTTACTTCAGATAATTCCTCGACGCCTTCTAAGTAGTTAGCTCTACTCTCTATTCTGAGGAAAATTTTACCCTGACGTACGGAGCATTGTGTAAAATGAGGAGAGAGCGGCGAGCACATCTGCTGCAATGCTTGCATTTCCTTCGGAGCGTACCGTGACCTTGTCGTCGCCCTTTGAATATTTGGGACACTAGAATCGCTTCAGGTACGAAAGGCATATATGTAGGAAGCTTGGACTGACGGTAGAAAGTGAGAAGGAAGCGCTAAGTGTTGCCGGATAATTCTAGATAAATACAAGTGGCAACATTAATGCTTTTTGAGATTTCACGAAACTACTAGAGAACCCCTCCTATACGACATGCCTTCAAAGAAAACTACACAGATCTCAGCTCAATGAACATCGTTAAGGAATAAACAGTCAAGAAACTCAGTCATCAAGCCTGTAACATCGGAACATTAGTCCCCATGATGGCCGTCGGATGGACGGCGTTGTCTCGGAAATAGCAGCCAGTACTATGGGCCAGGCGATTGTTCCGGACGCCTTGCCAGTTGGCCAGACATTCCCAGCAAAATTCGTGTTTGCAAGACGAGCCTGTAGAAATTTGGAGTTAGATACATATTCTTACTGGTATGCTGAGGGCTATTATACGCTATACTGAGAAAAGGAGAAGACATCCAGAGGCCTTTGGTATCAAGAACTATCTTACATGTCATGTGAAAACAACCTGGCCCCTTTTCAATTCTAGCTCCGCAGCCTGGACAAGCTTTAGTGTTGGTCATGATATATTCCTGCGTCTGTACGAATTTCGGATCGCTGTCGAATTCCGCGCATGTGATACCCGAATGCCATGGCCCTTGGTGTCTGAAGCACATTTGGAAACTGCACTCCATACATTGGATTGCCGCTAGCGACATATCGACATCTTCATGTACTTGGCCATTTTCACATGTTGGCGATAGGCACCAGCGGAAATTAGGCTGCGAGGAGAGAGCCCGCCGGAGGAGCATCTTTTCGTATCTGCGATGCTTGTTAGGCTAGATCTTTATAGGAATATAGGTTTATTGGTATTCATAGTGACCTTTCGAATGTATCTGACCGGCCTAACATCCGAATTTCCTCGAATAAAAGAACTCGATTGCACTGAGGGCACATGATGCGATCAACTTCACCGCCCTCAATCAACGTAGAAATATGTTGTGCCATACAGACTCGACAGACGTCCAATGGATGATCACATTGTTGTATCGCGCTTGTGGGATACTCTAACACGCTCCACATCCACATCCCAGTGCAGGCGTAATCTTCCCTCCATTGATCTAAGTTTCCGTAGTCAACTTCATTCTTCTCTTCAGTGCACACTATACATTCCTTCGGGGTTCTCAGCCGTCGAAATAGGCTTAGAAAAATTGGAACTTTGAAGTTGTCACAGCCCATATCGCCTACAATAATTGGTCCGGGACAGAATTTGGATACTCTGCCGTCTTGCCCTATTTTGATCGGAGCATCGAAAAAGTTGCGCATGCGACCTTGGTTTATAAGATGTGCGTGGAGATCTGCAGCCGCATCTAGCTCTGCGGCATTCGGCCGCCGATCAAGGCTTTTTAGGGCCTCTCGGTATTTCGTCGCCTTCTTAAACCTATAACGTGAGCTTTATACACATCAGACAAGGCGTGGGAGGGAATACCTTTTGACATAATCATCGACATTGTTTACATCCTGACAGCCGAGGGAGTCTAAGATACTTACTAGATCCTCTTCACACATAATATCGAAGGCACAGCAATTTCGATCCCAATCATGCTTTAACCACACCATATTCCCTAGATTGTGCCACCAGTCCTGCCAAATGGCCCGAAGGAGAGTCTCCAGGCCACATGATGAGCAAATCTCTCCATAAGATAGCATATCTCCTAGCTTGGGATATTCGTTCAAGTTGCGGAAAAGAGGGTTGCGATTGGCTTTGTTAAGCCGGAATTTTGGTTTGAAACACTTTGTGCAAGTATGAATATAAATCCCATCGTAAAGATCTTTATATGCCGTACCACTTGGAAAAAGGGGACCCAGTAGGTTGGCACGACCCGGAGTTAAAGTGGCATCAAGTGCATCAATGTGGATGGGGGTTAAGTTACCCATCTCAGTGAAAAGCAGAGTTGGTCGTTGATTCGAGTAGGTGGTCCAAAGTTTGCTTCCACGACTCGCATCATGATGATTGTTCGGAGGGTCACTGGTGAAATTTTGCTACTAACTATCATGGTAGTATTTTGGCGCATCTTCGTAAACTGATGAGAAAGCTCATTGTTCTCAGCTTGAAGATCTCGCACAGCAGTGACGAACGTCCTCACTAATTCTTTCATGTGGAACGACCTTCTTTTGAGCCGTCGCAGTCATATCCTGGTGTCCAGGAGCCGATATCCCGAGCAGACTGGCGAAGTCTTGCAGCTGCTACACGTCGAATTTCATTATCTTCTAGATTTCCCGCGTTGGATCGGGAGATGTCTTCTGTGCCCCATTTGGAGTCCGTACAGCTCTTTCCGTAGCTTGGGTTCTGTGTCGCTTTTTTCAGAGTTTGATATTTCCGCTCCGGATGCTTATCTAAATCATTGAAGAGGCCGTCGAGATAGACTTGAGCATCTATTCCTAGACGAAACTGTTGCATGGGAGTCTTAGACCAGAGGCATGCATCGTTCTCTTTGTCAGCCAAGGTTTGCGTGTTCTGGAATGGGAAAGCCTGAGAAATCGTCTCAGTAAGCTCAATATGGTTCCAGTCAGCGGTCGACATCTCGCCTAAGTTGTGGTTAGCGACAGGAAAGGATGAGACGAAGTTGGAAGAAGCGACGGCGCGTAACAACGAAAAACGTAGATAATAACAAGTGCTAGAGAGAGGAAGCGCTGTCCATCGGAACACTACCCCGGCACTCGCTTTATTGAAAGTGGCAAAGCTTCATGCAAGGATCGCTTAATAAGTGGGGTTAGTTATTTTCGAAGAAAGAATGTTTTAGCGTAATAGTCGGTGGATCCTCCTCTTGCGCGTCCGCTTAGAGTCGGGGAAAGCAAGTGTCCCAGGAAAGTAAGTGTCCCAGCCCAAATAGGTGCAAAATCACGATTTTCATACAAATTTTCGACCTCGAAAATTTCGAAAAAGGGGTTTCTAAATCGTATACAAAAAGTGGTGATTTTACACCTGTTTGGGCTCTTTCCCCGACTCTAAGCGGACGCGCAAGAGGAGGATCCACCGACTATTACCTTACGTACAAGGGTACAATCCAATTCGGCTGGTGTCATGCATCACTGTCAACATACACAAACACATCAATACATTTGTCAATGGTCGATCTTCGGTGTCATCATCTGCCGAATCACTTCTCATCTAATTTACTCCGAATTCTTTGGATACATTTCCATTGTGCGTTGGTGTATTTCAATCCGATTTCTGTGGTCATGGTCAAATTTTATATTATATTTTAGAAATTATATTTGAACTAATAAAAAACAATCTAATAACATACCTGTTTCATCTGTATGATTTTCTAATGGCGCCGTACATAACATATAACAAATAAAACATGTAAAAACCCCACTAACTTATACTTATCAATACTTTTAGCATTTTGTGGTAATTCAAATAGGCGCTGATCCACCACTTTAACACGTCCTGTCGTCTATCGCTTTCATTGTGTTCAAACAACGCTCCAAAATTCGATTCCAAGCACGTAATAAACGCTTTAATTGCGGTTCGTGGGGGTTGGGCACTCCGGCATACTGGAATGTTTTGACCAAATCGTGCTTGGACTGGCTTAACACCTCATTCCATTTGGTATACTGTAACCGGGAATCCATTTCAATGGCGGGCTCCTGGGCCTCGCCCTTCCATTTCTAAATGTCCTGGACAATATGGTCGTCGATATTATCCTGGTCGCTTTTGTCCTCCTAACTATTATCGCCGTTATCGTAGGAATGATCGGTTTCTTCACCTGCGTGTCATGGCTCGACGTGCCTGGCGCTCCTGCTCTTGCCCTTTGGCTTCGTTGACGATCCAAAATCTCCCTCTCTTTACCCTAAATCAACATTGTAATTTGACCAATTTAAATATATCCTCATCTGCCATCTTCTTCTGGCTATGGTCCTTATTACAATGCTGCCTGGCTGTATCCCGCCCGTGGGTTTGAATTGGCAAACCTTACATTTATACCCATCTAACACGGGAATGATGGGCTGTGGGGCTGAACCGTCGTTGGGCAATTGCACACTGGCATAATCATATTGAAATGGATGCCCTTTGATATACTCCTGAAACTGCTTTCGTAATTTGATCGGGACCTTGTGTTGGTCATTTATTAAATGCCTACAAACATATGTGAGCTTTTGCGTATAGTGGCACTGTAAACAAATCAATGTGTTAAACTCAACATTCAACAGGGTCATCAATAGGGCTGTCATTGATGAGATGTCCAAACGCTTCCTCACAACTGGAAGAGAGGAGCTTCGGGAGTTAGAGCAGCAGATTGCCACACTGGAGCGAAGCCTCGGGACAACTCGAGAGGATATTATGCGGCCAATCCGTCAAGCCAGAACCCATGTGACTCCAAGCCTCACTCAGGCAAAGTTTTCGGAAATCACTAGAATTTTAAAAGAACGAGATACAGAATTCAGGAAGCTTGAGGGCGCCATTGAAGTCTTTCGCAATAGCGTCGCTGATAGCCATCAACCAGCGCAAAAGCTCCATGACGCTACAGTCCACGCAGCAAGAAAGACCGCTGCCGCTACTGCATCCGTCGATACACTTATAACGAATATGTCGATCACGAACGCCGCACAGTTCTCCCGCGTGATCGTCGAGTTACTATGGGTGGTCGAATGGTTCAGATCAAGACCGAATTTTACATCCTTAATGAGAAATTTATGTTTGCTTAAGCATTAAAATCAATATCCACCAAGTCTTCAATCAAGATCCCTGGCGGAGCTCCTGACCTACTTGCAGTTCCATTCTTCTAGAACTGCAAAATCTTTATTGAGGAATGCCAGGTCGAGAATCTACCGAAGCTAGCTGATGAAGTGTCACTGTTCTATACAAGTATATCGCGCTTATTCGAGATCTTTTATTATTCTGGTAAAATAAACCTTGAAAAAGCCGCAATTCATACGGCGATGGCTAAACAGTTGTTAGAGGATGCTCGAGAAGTTTGCTAGCAGCAATTTCAGAACGCTAAAAGCTTACGTAATGCAGTCGAGGAGTCGATACGTCTAATGAAGAAAGAATCGTATAGAGAAATCACAGCAGAGGAGATTAACGCGATCAAAGCTGCGATGGTTAGTGGGTCTCAGGGCATTGCGAGTCATTCGGGTCATTAGTATAATTGCGAGAATAGACATCCCGTAAGTTCATGGGTTGATGCTTTTAACATCCGCTGATTTCTGACCAGTTTGCAATTAGTGAGTTGCGGGATGCCAATGGAACTGGCTCGTTGCCCGGAATGTGGGGCAAATGTTGGTGGACAGAATCACACCGCAGTTGGAGGCGTGACTCGTGCAATGAAAATGGAAATTTAGGATACTGTATCCGTATTGGATTGGATGTGAGAAAACCAGGAAAGGAGGGCCGTGACGCTGATCCACCTTTGCTTGAAGAGCCATTTTTGTAAAAGGGTTCTGGATGTAAGGATATAAAAGTCCTCCACTTATGTTTTGTTTCAAATTGAAATAGACTTTGTCAAAAATATCAAATACAAACTAAGACGTACTCACACTCCTGTCTCCTCTCCTAGACAATATAGTACAGCGGCGGGGATCGACGTGCTGACTCTGGAATGCTCTGCCAAAGGAAGGGCAATATTCTTACTATTCAATTATCTATAGCCAGGGCCTTAAACTAAGCTTCAAGACGTATGCCGGATAAAAGGTGAGTCGTGTTCCTGGTGGGAGCTCATAGCAATATGTTAAATGTGATTTTCGATGGCGAACAAAAATTCCCAAAAACTCCCTCACAGATTTTTCAAACAAGTTTGCAGATGAAAACTAACTTCAAGTCAGTGATAGTCCTGTAAAGGTTCTACAATGTACCTTCTGACTAGATATCCTGGAAGATCTCGTGGAAAGGGACCACCTTCCTCTATCAATGCGAGGAAACTCTCATTCTTTCCGATGATTTCGAATTTTGCAAGCTATGTAATACACAGCTAGCCTCCTCAGATCATCGATATCTTGTCCAGGCTCGCAGTCTCGAGAATGCTCATTATCATAACAATACTGAGCAAGCTTTACAATACGGCTATCCGCTCTTTGTGTAAATGGAACGCTTGGAGGGTGTCGTGCAAATTAAACAGCGCTAGCGAACACAATTTTGGTATGTCGTATTTATGCGCAAATACATATATACGAGCATGGCATAAGAACACTTCTAGTGTAGTCGTCGCACTCGTTCGTGTTCCATAGTGCGCCACCCTGATGAGTGGGTTGGGAGCTGCTTAACACCGAATCAACCACTTAATTCTTTCCATGGTTGGCTCCTACTTTTGTGGTTGCTGCTAACGACATATCGACTAGAGAGATGTGCGAATGCGACCAGGTCTAACATTATCAGACTCCTACTTATTGGACTATCACCTTGAATGCAAACTCCATTAGATAGTGCCGGTCAGATCATGTGGACTATCTCTCTCACACAAACACTACATCACGTTGGCAGGATAAGTGAGGATGGCGAGGAGAGAGCTGCTGCGAGATGGCTAGGGAAATGGTAGAGGAATATGTGTAGCAGAGAATGTCCGGATTTTCGAGAGCATATACAACAGCGCATTCTCAATTGTGCTGCATTGCGACAACAAAGCTTGTAAAGTATTCACAATCATTCACACAGCAGACTTCTACAAACCGTTATCATAATTTAATCCCCTCGTACGCTGCCTTGCCCACACGAACCGCCTTCATGTGTATTGGGCTGATTGAGGTTTCGCTACCCTATCGCGTCACAATTGACATTAACCAAGCCTACATTGTGCTAAGTTTGATAAATTCAATCATGCCTTTGTTTTCTGATCTTATCCTGTTCAAAATAATCATCTCAAGACGCGTGCGCCTCGCTTCCCCACATACTAACAGCCCTAAAATCCTTGACGTTGCCAAATCTGATTCCCTCAAAGATGCGATCGCAGGGTGAAGTTATGAGCTGGGGAGTCGAGGTGTTGCTGGAGAGATTGCCGACTGCCAAACGTTCGGTCACAGCTGTTACAGTACATTGCAATCTTAGGTGAATGTGCGTCTCGGAGTGAGATTTCGCGTCTGATTGAATTATTGTAATCTCAGAGAGGCCGTCGCCATTTCGAATTTTTACCCAGCTTCGGAGATCGTTTGTCACTAGTCCCAATAAAGTTTAGTGGAAATTTTCCAAAGACGAAGAGTTCATACAAAATTCAACCTATTATCTCCAGACTCTTGTTTGGGGGTCTAGTTCTTTCGCGAGATCCTATCAACCTGAGTCCTCCTATAATCGTAATTCTCGTATTTCATCTGCATTATTGTCCGTGTTGGTTTGCTCTCCTCTGATATCTTCTTCTAATCTGCCGAAAAATGGATGAGTCGCTGTGAGAGGTTTTGCTTGGCAAATATAACCCATTGGCGTGTGAACGAAGTCTTGCCCTTTGCATCTCAGCGACAGCCATTCCTGGAGGAATGTTAAGGGTTTGGTTGTGAAACTGTGGCATGGAGGTGCGCCTTCGCTCTGTTCTGCCGAGCGCAGCTCAACTGGAGACCGCATTCTCTCAGAATATCTGCCCTGATTCTGTGAAACCTCCTAGGATCCAAGATACTGGTTTATATTATTGTACTCATTGTATTCAAAGTAAAGCCGACCTGCGAAGAAACCAAGCTCAACAGTGAGCCATGTTGGCGCCTCCCATCCTGGAGGGAGATTGGGCACGGCAAAGTAATCAAGTTTGTTGAAATGGAGCATTTTGCGCGTCACTGACGCGGCGTAGGTGAGTAAGTGTGTGGTTGGTCGCTTAGCGTCGCAGATGAGTGGAAATAGATGCTCTGCTTCCTCTGCGTTGATAATTAGAGTTGTATTCGATGTTGAGTTCCAGATGATCCAGTTTACTTGACGCTATAGACAGAGTTAGATTTTTAATCAAGGGAGAATTAAATTTAGCTCGTGACTTCCCTGGAAGTTATCAGCGAGGCGAGCCAATGGGAAGCTCAAAGTCCTGGCAAATTCTGCCGAAACATATAGTTTGGAAGTCATCGCTTCACTCCTGATCCCATGTTTTTGGCCCAGGGTGGTATGCCGAAGAGCCATGAACCACTGTTCATAACCTGCAGAATCCGCAGTAAGTCTTCCAGTGTTTATAAATACGGCAATGTCCCTATGAAGGCCTCTAAATGTTAACGGTGAGTAGTGTTCCTGCTTTTGCACTTCACGGATGGTCTCGACCTCAAACGCAACCTCCTTTTCTTGCTCAACCTCTTGTAGGGCGGAGCTATGAACAGCATTTCCGGTGTCCTGGAAGGCTTTCCGCCGAATCCCAAGCTCCTTCATAAACCGAACGAGTTTTAACGATGTTGGATCTTCACCAGCCACGAGCTTCGACTTCGACTTGGCTCTAGGCTGATACAGCTGCTGCAGAGTCTGCTGTTCTTTCTGCTTTAAGACGCTTATGTATGCACTCCGTTGCTCGCTGTCCACAAGGAAATTGGTGTTGTTGCTGGCAGCTTGTATACGACGACAGAAGTCGCTACCCTGAGAGTAGTACAGAGGCTAAAGCTGCTCGATTCCGTCACAAGTCTGCTCTAGAATCCAACATATTACATCGTGAGAGTCGACTATGTCGCCACGAATCTTCTTGCGAAGATGTAAAATACTCTAATAGACTACCTATAATTCCAGACATCGTTTTGCCTTATAGTAGAGCTACTATAAAAATTTAATCCTAGCTACTATAAGAATTTAATCCTAGCTACTATAAGAAAAAAGTAGGTTTTAGAGACCTGTTTTTATAGTAGGTCGAAAAGAGGTAGAGTTATTCTTAAACAATATACTTAATATATATTAAACGTAGAGATTTAACTAAGCTAACCTAGAAAAAAATAAGATTCTAGAAAAGTCTTAACCTTATAAAGTTATATATATATCTAGTAAAGAGTAATAAGTTAAGGTTTTTTGTATTTCTACCCTTACTTTTTAAGTAAGGTCTAAGCTTTCTTTATTACTCTTCTAGCTATATTATACTAGGCTTATAAGTAATTCTTATTATTATTTTATAAAAGTAAAGAGCTAATATTAAGCTATCTAAAGAACTAAAATTTATTATAATAGCTCTTATAATAGTTCTTAAATCTTAATATAAGTAAAAGCTAAGCTAAAAGATACTAGAAAAGAATTTACTTAGAGAGACCTATTTTTATAGTAGGTCGAAAAGAGGTAGAGGTATACTTAAATAATATACTTAATATATATTAAATATAGAGATTTAACTAAGCTAACCTAGAAAAAAATAAGATTCTAGAAAAGTCTTAACCTTATAAAGTTATATATATTTCTAGTAAAGAGTAATAAGTCGAGGTTTTTTATATTTCTACTCTTACTTTTTAAGTAAGGTCTAAGTTTACTTTATAACTCTTCTAGCTATATTATACTAGTCTTATATATAATTATAGTTATTATTTTATAATACTAATATAGAGTAAGTATAGAGCTATCTAAAGAAGTAAAAAGTATTATAATAGTATTTTATTAAAGACTATAAGAGTAATAGAAGAATTAGAAGAAGAAAAAAAGAAAAAAAGAAAAGAATTAACTATTACTACTAAGCTATTATAGTATTAATAGTATTAGTAGATAACTAATATATTTCTACTTATTTTTAATCTACTTAAGCTTTAAAAATATTAAAAAAAAGAAAGAATATATAGTAGAAAAGCTATATAGCCGAGGTAATATAGTTTTCTCTTTATATATAGTAGAAAAATACTTATTTTAATATATAACCTATAAAAATACTTAGTAGATACTAAGTCTAAGGTATACTCGAGTAAGTAAGAGAAGTAAAAAAAAGAACTCTTAATAACTAAGCTAATAACTAAGCTATAAAGATAATTTATAGCTTATTAGATAGCTAAAAGCTAGAACTTTAAGGTTTTTATTAAAAAAGTTTAAATATTACTATTATATAATTATAAAGGTTATTACTAAGATTCTTCTAAGATTAATAATAACTTAGAGTTAAAGTCTTTCTAAGTAAGTTTTTAGAGTTTAATATACTATATACTATATAAATAAGAAATATTTAAAGTTATAGCTTAATTAAACTTATAGATATAAAGTTATTAGTATTTTACTTCTTTTACTTTTACTAAAAGTTAAATTTAATTTCTATAAACTATATACTCTAAATATTTCTAAAATATAGAGATTTAATTAGATTAACCTAATCTAGAAAATTATAATATTCTAGAAAAGTCTTAACTTTATAAAGTTATATATATTTCTAGTAAAAAGTAATAAGTTAAGGTTTTTTATATTTCTACTCTTACTTTTTAAGTAAAGTCTAAGTTTTCTTTATTACTCTTCTAGCTATATTATACTAGTCTATACGTTTAGCGGCGGCTTTACGGCTAGGCGGCTTCGGGTCGATATCGTAACCCTACTAAAACTCTATCGACTAAAGTCTTAATTAATACTAAAAATAAATAGATATAACTTAGTATTATATTAAATATATACTATACCTACCTAGAAACTAACTTATAGTTACGTGCGACTTGTTTATATTAAGTTATTATATATTTATAATATTACTTATAAATAGTTTAGGTCTATACACGTAATCTATATACTACCGTAGTATAAAAACTATACTATTACCTTCGACAACAACTTATAACTCTATCGATCGAAGTTTGTTATCTTTTAATATAGATATCTATTTAGTATCGAATTAACGTTATATCGCTCTATTATTATACGCGAGTAGAGGTACTTAAGATAGAATACCTTCTCGATATAGCTACTAACTACTATCAAATAATTTAGGTCTATATAGATAATATAAGTAGTATACTACTATAGTATAAAAACTATACTATTATCTTTAATAATAACTTATAACTCTATCGATCGTAATTTATTATTTTGTAATATAGATATTAATATACTATAGAATCGACTTCGGATTACTCTATTATTATACGCGAGCCTTTCTTATTAAGATTTATATTATATAAATTTTACCTCTAATTAATTTAGGCCTATATACGTAATTTGCCACCGTCTCCCTTCTCTTTTACCCTCTCTTTAGGTAATATAATTACGGTTTATATTATAATAATTATATATTCTTAGCTTTTAACTACCCTTAAACTTCGTTATAGTACCTAAAAAGAAACTAGTTAGTCGACTAAGACTTAATAGTATAGAAAGAAGGCGTAGAAAGGCTACTACCGCCTAAGAAAGACGTCGAAGATTAGGTTTTCTAAATATTAGAATTCGAAGCAACCCTCTAATTTTCCCTTCTACTACTACTTAGATTTAAGATGTTCTCGCGCTAATAGAACTATCGACTTAACCTTAGACAACTACTCGAGTTATACGGTTAAGTAGTCGAGTAAGTCAAAATAACAATTTAGAGCCCCCTTTAAACTTAACCGACTAACTATTAATCTAACCTCGATATTATACCCGATCGACGTCAAAAAGCCCTTAACTCCCTACTATCCTAGCTTTGTTAACACGTCTATCGCCTATATACAAACTCTCCTATTTAACTAGGTCACCTACGTTCTCTTTACCGATTCGCCTATAATAGCCTAGCCCTTCGCTTTAACTTCCTTCTCTTATAGAAGTTATAACCTATATTTAAGCCTACCTATTATACTATAAATCCTATACTTATAGAGGTTTTATTCTAGTAAATCCGGCTTCTACGATTACGTAACCTATTATCTAACCCCCTTTAGAAATTACTTATAATTCTATAGGTTCTCTTTAAGATATTTCGCTAGAAAGTATCGAGGAGTCTAACCTTTAGCGAGAAGATAAAGGGAAAGAGAGAGAGGTTATTAGTCTATAATATACTATCGAGGTAATACCTCTAATACTTAATATAATATATTAAATATTAAATATCTAAAAGATAATACCTAACTAATATAATTTAGAATAAAGATTACTAGACCTTACCTAAACCTTAAGATTCTACTCTAATAAAGTAATTATATTCTAATACTATATAATAGTATATTTAATAATAATTCTATTATAGTTATTCTCAATCTACTTTACTAGTTATTAATACGCCCTTAATAGATTCTCTATAGTATATTAATAGAGATAATAATATTCTTCTCTAACTACTATCTAACGATTATTTCTCGAATAGTAGTTAAGACGCTATAATATTAATACTATATCGAAAGGAAATTTCCTTAGACGTTTGTGTAGAAATAGAGTTACGCCGTAAACCTATAACTGTAAAGGCGAAAGTATTATAAGAAATTACCCCTATCGAAGCTAGGCCGTCTAGCTATCGATCCGATAACGATTTATAGTCTAATAGAGATTATATTTCTAGTAGTAGTAGCTCGGATTTCGAGAGGCCAGATATCGATAAAACGGACATTCTCTTACTATAAGATAATAATATTAAAGTCGAAGTATAACTACTTAGTAGTCTATAAGAAACAATTATTTCTAAAATTAACCTAGCGCTCGCTACCGCTATATAATTAGTTTTATTTTATAGATATAGAGTAGAGAGTTATATACTCTCTATATTTGAGAACTATTTAGAGTATACTCTTTTATCTATAGAAGTTAATTATTATATACTTACCGAGCTTACCGATTTATTCTTACTAGATATACCCTTATAATTTAGATAGGATCGATTCTTTAGTAGCGAGGAACGTAAAAAGAGTTCTACTCTAAACTTTAAGATAGTCTTTAAGAGGGTATATTATAGTCTAGAGTCGTTAGGTCGAGAGTTACCGAATAGCCTTAAGGAGAATAATACCGAGGTTTTAAAACATCGACTCTATTTAGAGTACTTAGAGATAGACTTAATATAACTTACCTAATTTAATATTAATAGCTATCTTAAATTCGCTAGTTAGGGTTAGGGTTAGGGTTAGGGTTAGGGTTAGGGTTAGGGTTAGGGTTAGGGTTAGGGTTAGGGTTAGGGTTAGGGTTAGGGTTAGGGTTAGGG